ATTTCGCCTTTTTGGAGCGTTTATAAAAAATTTACTCGATAGGACGTTGAATATTGGTATTTTCTTTGTCTCGTAATTTTTTTTTTCGCACCCTTGTTCCATTATATTTACTGCTATTTTTTTTCGCACCCTTTTTCCATTTAATTTACTGACACAGTATTATAATATACTTATTTTTTGTGTTATTACAAACGACATTTTTGTTTTTTTTTCTTCTTTTTTTTTTAATATAATATTCTGACACACTGAATGCGCTTAATAAATTCAGCATTATCCCCTTATTAACCGCGTAGTATAATAGTCATTGTCGAGTTTATTGGCGACGTACTTCTAATTGTTATTATTAGTACGAATATAATAATATAAGTTTATTATAATCTGAGATGGGAAAATATTATGTATTTAGTAGAAATACCGATATTTGTTAAGAATAATTATGCTTCACGTTTTAATCATTCACGACAAGTATTAAAATCTCGAAGCGTTTTTTTTTCTTTTTTTGAGAAACACGAGATTTTTTCACAGAAAAAACTAAGGATCTTGTGGTGCAATTAAAAAATTAAATAAAATAAAATTTCTCAAAATTTTCCCACTCTGTAAAAAAAAATATTTTTAAATATTAAATGAATTTTTAATTAATTAGAATTTTTTAAAAATAAAAAGTACATTCACTTTTCAATTTGATGTTTTTAATTTTCCTAAACATTCGAACATTCAAATGCAAGACAATTTTTCTTTATAATTTCATTAAAATTTGAATTTTGAGATTAAAAAAATATTTTTTTGTTAACTTCAAAAATTAATTCCTTTCTATAAATGTTGAATTTCTTCAATTTTTAATTTTTGAAAATATTTCCTTTTTTTATACAGAAAAAAAAATTCGTTCATTCATTCTTTCAAATGAATGCAGATTTTTTTTACAATTAATTAAAATTTGAATTTTGTCAAAAAATATTTTTTTTAAATTAATTTCTTTTTATAAATGTTTTCATTTATTTTATTTTTAATTTTATTCCAATAATTTTCGAAAATACTCAAATAAAAAGAAAGTATTCATTCATTTGAACGTTCAAAACTTTAGAAAAATAGTAATTTAAAAAAAATAAAAGAAAAAAAATTTCTGAACGCAACTTTCAGAAAATTAATTTTCATTTTATCAATTGAATAAGGAATTAAGATTAATAAGTAACAAAATTTACTACTTAATCTGCTGAATTCAATCCCTTGTTTTTTCTGTGCTCAATAAATCGCCGAATAGGCACCCGATTTAATCGAAGGAAAAAAATGATGATTTCTTTTTATAATCTTGCAAGTAAATCAAAAACTTTTTCTCAAAAAAATAACATCAGAAAAATATCAAGAAAGAAACAAAGATTTCATGAATCAATTCTCAGTGTGAATTTTTAAACAATATTTTTCTTCCTTTTGGAAAATGTCAAAAAAACATTAATTATTATTGTTTTAATTTATTAATTTTTATTCGTTAACTAAATTAACTTAATTTATTAATTATAATTCATTGAATAAATTAGTTTAATTTAGTAAATTTCAATTAATTAATTAAATTAATTAATTAATTCAATTTTTTAATTTTAATTTATCGATTAAATTAATTTTAATTAATTCATTAAATTAATTAAATTAATTAAATTAATTTATTGAAATTAGTTTTAAAAATTAATTTCAATTAAGAGAAATTCAATTTCAATTTATTAATAAAATTAATTTTAAAAATCAATTTCAATCAAGAAAAATTCTCATGAAATATTTGCTTCTCCTGAAAAATTTCTCCTATCTCAAGAGGCAGGAATTTTTTCACAATATTTGCAAGATTCAATTGAAAATTTCTCGTATTCAGTATTTTTTTTTGTACAATTATAAAACAAAATAATACCTTCTCATGTGACGAGAATGTAAAAATAACAAAATTTTTTAATAGTTTCTAGAAAAAAGTGCTAAAAGTGTCCTAAGAGAGTCTTAAAAATTGAAAATTTTTGCAATTTTCCTTTACATAATTTTCAATCAGAAAAAATTGCTCTGAACAAGAAAAGTGTTCATCATGAAAAATTTTAGAGAAATTCATTCATTTCATTTGAACCTGACACATATTTTTACTCACTATAATATTATAATGAGTTCATTTAGATTTAGGATTTTAGGCGCTTTAAACAACGATCCATTCACACTTGAAATAATAAATAATTCATTCCTCACAATTCTACCCAATTTCATTTTAGTCAAAAATTTTCGAGTCTTCCCAAAGAAAAAAAAAATTTCCCTCTTTTTAATAAAATCAATTTTCATTCTTCTTTCCCAAATTCTTCAAACGCATTCAAATTATCGTAAAATTTGTAAAAAATGGACTGAATACATTTTAATAAAAATTTAGTATAAGTTTTAATAGAAAAAATGTTCCGAGTATTTTCTTTTAGCAAACTATCCATTATTTGGAATTTCAATATCATTTAATGGCTAAACATTAGAGTCTCCCAAAAAAATTATTTCACAAAAACAGTTTTCAATTGTATTTCTGTTTTTTCATTTCAAAATATTCTTTTCTCTAAGAATATAGTTTTAAAGAAATGAAAAATTACTGTACTTAACAAATTCGATAATAAATTATTAATAATAAATAAAGTTTAATTATAATTAATATAATTATAATTAATTCGGTATTTCGTCATTATAATTTAATTACTATATCAATTGTCATTAATTAAAAATGAATATAATTAAAAATTAGAAGATAATTGTCAACAGTATAGAATTAATAGTTCATTTTCACTTAATTATCGAGTATTGAAAAATAACGAGACAATTTTCTATTATTATTATTATTATTATAATATTGAAAAAAGAAAAGAGTTTAAATGGATTTATTATATTTTTTTAAAAATGTATTTGTGAGTGTGCTGTAGAAAAATAACTACTTCTTTTAAATGTGCAAATGTGTGCTTTAAATATTTTTTTTGTTAAAAAAATTATTTTTTCTTTTCGCTTTTTCTTTGGGATTCCCTAATGAGAAAAATACTTATTATTATTAATTCTATTATAATATTACACGCACCATTCGAAGCGTCACGAGTTTACGTATACTTTACACCTATAGTTTATAATTTATAATACTCACGATTTCCCATAGTAAAATATTCCGATTCTCTATATATTTTATATTATATTATACCTACGTCACACGGGAAAAAAAATTATATTTATTATTAATAGGCTAAATATCGCACAATACGTAACCCGCGAATCGTGCGAATATTTTTTTTTTGTCAGCAACATGAACACATGGCACACGACATTTAAACAAATCCGCATAGCAATTTGATTTCCCTTTTTCATTTAATAATAATATATTTTAATAATAAAATTAAAATAATATTATTAAAAATAATAATAAAAATATTATTTTAAATAATAATAAAAATAATATTATTTAAAATAATAATAATAATATTCTAATTATATATCCCATCGATCGTCTTGTTTCCTTTTTTTGGCCGCAGATTAATTTCCGATGATTATGCACGAAATATTCACATTGATATGATACTTTTACGCAATACGTTCATTATTTGGGTTTCAATACATTTTTTCACATTCTGGCAATTTTTCTTTTTTTTTTTGCAAAAGGAGATGTTAATGATATTTTTTGCTAATTGATAAATTATTTCAAAATTAATTTATTACTTCAAATATTCAAAATTCCTTTATTAATTCAAATTTATTTATTAGTTCAAAAATAATATTAATAATAGAGAGAATACTATTGATAATAATTAATAATAAAACTACTACTATTAACTAAGAATAGAATTCTTCTAATCACTTCTAATATTACCTAAAAATCCATTTAAAAACTTTTTTTCTAATTATTTGATAATTATTAATTTTAATAATTGATATTAAATTATTATTCAATAATAATTTGATATTTCAATAAATTTCACTTGATATTGCGTTACAATTCAAATTCATGAATATTGTAATCGTTACTAGATAATTTATATCAAATATTTTGAGTCTAGAAAAAAAGAATAGAAAGAATTTATATTATTTGTCCAAAGGCAAAAAAATGGACTTCGAATTACATAATTATAATAATATAATAAAAATAATAATAAAATTTTCTTTACCAAATTAAAAAGAATTCAAATCAAGAATTGCAGTTCTAATTTTTTAATTACGTTGAAAGTATTTTGAAATTTTAATCCCTGCTTAACAAATAAATAACAATTCAAATATTTACTAAACCAAAATTAATGAAATTCGAAAATTTTTTTTTTTTAAATTCTGAAAAATGTAGAAAAAGTAATTAAAATTTTTTGAAAATAGTTGAATTCCCAAAAATATTTTTAAAAAATTGAAAAAATAGGAAGTTCTCTCAAATTTCAATAAAATAAAGTTTATATTTCAAAGAATTTTATTTTTTTACTTAAAAAAATTATTTTTAAATAATATTGTATTTTTTCAAGAACTGTAACTAAAAATTTGGAAAATAATTAAATTTTAGAAAAATTTTGTATTTGAATAATTCAATTATCGTTGAATTTTAATAAGAATTGATTTAAAAAAGAATTTCAGTTAAAATTTTGAAAAGTATAAATAATAATAAATAACATTAAGTTTTTAAATATTTGTATAACAAAAATTATTTGATTTTTGAATAATTTAATGTAGAAATTCTAAACAAAATTAGATTTTTGAAAAATCGCAATTAAAACTTTTTGAAGATATTTTTATTTTTATTTTATTCCCGAAAATAATTTAAAAAATTGAAACAATTAAAAGTTTTGTCAAATTTCATTGAAATAAATTTTGTTTTTGAAAGAATTTTACTTTATTACTTATTGAAAAATTGTTTAGAAATATAATCGTATTTTTGAAGAATTATATTTTGAAAAATTATATTTTCTAAAAATAATAATTTTTCAAAGAAAATTTTCAATTTTCTTTCAAAAAGAAAATTTTTGCAACTAAATTTCACGCGCGCGTGTATAGTTATTCTAGTAATAATAATAAATAATAATAGTAATAAATAAATTTCTTATACTACATTAAAAAGTAGTAAGAAATATTTAAGTAATCTAAGAGAATTTAAATCAGACGGAAGCATATAATAAACACGTCTCTGATATTCTGATTGGAAATCACGCAAAATTTTTTCTTCTTATATAAAAATCATCAACCTTATTTTATCAGTCTCTAATCTAGTCTATTTTTATCCTACTTTCCTTACTTCTTAATCTTACATTTTACTTTTACGATTTCCCCGCTATCTTATCTCATCATTATTATTTGTCTTGGATCTTCTTTTTTATTTTCTTTAACTTCGTAATTATCACAATCGAATAATCCTGCGTAAACTAATAAGAAATAAAATTGAATAATTTCCAATATTTAAATTTTCGAATATCGAAATGAATAAAAATTTACATTAACAAAACCTTTTTCTGCCAGTTAGTTTTTTTTTCTCACAACCCTCATTTGTTTTCAATTAGAAAAATTCCTTTCACACACATTCTCTTTCTCTCCCTCTCTCAATATTCAATTGTCATTTGAAAATAGCGCAAATTCCGTAAATTAACGATTTTCTTTGGAAGGAATTTGTTTTTGTTTTTCTTTTCTCTTTGTTTTACCGTATTTCGTGACTTTCGGGAACTTATTTTCAAAATATTAAGTATTTTTATGTAGATTTCAAACCTTTTTTTTTGTTTTTTTTTCTGCTGGAACGGTCAACTTGTAGTTTTTTTTTCTTTCTTCCTGAGAGCTGAATATCCTTCTGTGACGTCGAAGAAACGATGCTGAGGCTTCCAACTGAATTTATCAGTTTTTAAGTCGTTTTTTTGGAATTCGTCAGAATTCACTTGTGGTTTTTATTTCCTCTTCTTCTTCTCCTTCATTTTTGAAATCCGAATTTTAACTCTTCTTTGATTTCAAATAATTCGTAAGCCACTCATCAATCATTTCCGCATTATTCTTCACCCAATGAATGTTAAATCTGATTTTTTCCAAACTTTGTTCCAGCATTCGTTGACCGCTTCCCACATCTTTGTTTTTAAAGAACTCGGAGACCTAGAAATTTTCACAAATTTTATTATAATTCTAAATATTTAAATTCAAGTTCAAATTTAATTATAATTCAAATTTATATTCAAAATTTAATTAATTGTAATTTAAATTTAAATAAATCAACATTCGAATTTTAAATATTGTAATAGGATAAAGTTGTTGATAAATTCTAAATTAAAATAAATTACCTCCTTGTAATCATATTGAGTGAAAAATTCGGACGTGACAATGTGAATTAATCCTCCTATCGACAGAGAGCCATTTCCAAAGATTGAGTGAACTTGTGGCCAAAATGCCTTTAAATGTCTCCAGGCGAGAAATTTTCCCTCAGTATTTTTTGCAACTGAAGCGACCACTGTTTCCACGTCTTGTGTTCTTACTTTTTCCCGATCGGTACTCTTCAAGAGATATCTTTGAAGTAACCAAGGATCGTTGGATGAACCCAGTGCTCGAAGCATGACTCGTTTCTCGCTAGGAATTTGTGTCTTCTTATAAGTTTCCCAACAATAATTCCACTCGGCTTGTCCTCCGAATTTTATGCCTGCATTTTAATTTACAATTATTTTATTTTAACCAGAAAATGTTACGCGCGAAACGCAGTATTCCATTTATTATTATGCAAAATACAAAATTTATTATTTGCAAATATCAACTCAAATCTTTAATTCATTTCAGATTCAAAATTTTTAAAAGTTCACTTATTAACCACACAATCAATTATTATTATTATTTATTATTTACTAAAATTTTAATAAAATACAATTATTTTCAAAAATTTTAATAAAATTCTTCACAAGAATTCAATTATTTTAAAAAATTAGAAAATTCTTCTCAGAAATTCAATTATTTTCAATAGAATTTTAATAAAATTTTTCCAAAGAATTTAATTATTTTCAATACAATTTTAATAACATTTTTCGAAAGAATTCAATTATTTTCAAGAGTTTTAATAAAATGTTTTATAAGAATTCAATTATTTTCATTAATAAAAAATTTCTTCGCATCAATTTAATTATTTTCAGTACATATTTATAAAATTCTCGAATGAATTCAATTATTTTCAAAAAAGTTACAATAAAATTTTAGTCAGTTTTGCTTTTTTGTTTCCTAAACTTTTTAATTATAATTTTTTTTTAATATTTTCAATTTTAAAATTAATGTATTGAAAAAATCATTGAATTCTTGCAAAGAATCTAATCAAAAAATTTCAAGAGAATAATTGAATTCCTTCGAAGAATTTTTTTTTATGAAAATAATTGAATTCTAGCGAAGAATTTTATTAAAATTTTTAAAAATCCTAACTAAATTCTCTTGAAGAATTTCTTTAAATTTTTTTTAAAATAATGGAGTTTCTTTAATAAATTTAAATGAAAATTTTGAAAGCAATTGAATTTTATGAAGAAGAATTTTATTAAAATTGTATTGAAAATAATTGAATTTCTGTAAAGAATTTTATTAAAATTAAGCATATTCAAAATAATTGTATTCGTCAGAAGAATTTTATTATTTTTTGAAAATAATTGAATTCTTTTAATTTTTTTGACGAATATATTTAAAAATTGCATTGAAAATAATTTGATTTTCATAGATTTTTTAAAAATATTTTGAGAATAATTGAATTATTTTTAAGAATTTTAAATTCTTGTTGTGATTGAATTTTAGGGAAATTTTTGAAAATAATTCAATTCTTTCGCGGAATTTTATTTAAAGTGGATTAAAAATAATTTAATTCCTGCAAAGAATTTTAGTATCTATAAAAATAGTTGAATTGTTTCGAAGAATTTATTAAAAGTTTAGGAAATAATTGAATTTTATAGAAATATTTGAAAATATTTGAGTTCTGCCGAGGAATTAATAAGTGAATTTTTAAAATTTTGACTTTGAAATTATTTTAAAATTTATATTTTAAATCAAATAATTTTGTAATTTGCATAACAATAATAAATTGAATAATCAAATAATTACAATTATTAACAAACACGATTATTTTAAAAACTTGAAAGAAATTCTTCGTAAATTTCAATTACTTTCAAAATTTTTTAATTAAAACTATTTAAAAAACATCATTTTCAAAAAAATTAGATTAATGAATTAAATTATATTTAAAAAAAATTGTAATAAAATTCTAAGAAGAATTAAATTTAACTTGAAAGACATTCTTCATAAAATTTAATTACTTTCAGAATTTTCAATTAAAATTATTTAAGAAAACTTAATTATTTTCAAAAAAATTCCAAAAGAAATCCTTCAAAACAATTAAATTTTTTCAAATTTTTCAATAAAAATTCTTCACAAGAATTCAATATTAGGTATTTTTAAAAATTATAAAATTCTTCGCCGGAATTCAATTATTTTCAATATAATTTTAATTAAATTTCTCGAAAGAATTTAATTATTTTCATAAATAATGAAATTCTTCACAGGATTTCAATTATTTTCAATATAATTTTGATATTAGGAATACGACGATTATTAACACTAATAATTAATAATTTTATTTACAAGATATTTTTAAAGTCGAATTTTTTTTAGTAATTTTAAAGTTTAATAACTTTTTTTATTCTTTAAATGCTATTTAAAAACTATTTTTTTCTATCGTTAAATGTAAACAACATTTTATTGTAGCTGCTCTTTTATTTAAAATTTAATTTATTTAATTTATTTTATTTAAAATTAATAAATTTAATTATTGTTTAAAAATGAAATTTTAATTGCAATACTAAAATTTACCTGCAGCGTAAACAACATCCCGAATATTTGGACTGATTCGTGTCCCTCTAAACATCCAATTTTCAAACAAACTCGTCGCTGGTTGAATAACTTCATCCAATTGAAGTTCCACTGCAAACTGTAGAATAGCAATTCGTAGCAATCTATAAAAAAGTTGACAGATTTTATAAAAAATATATAATTCTCACATTTACGATTACTTACATTTAAAAAAACATTTAACTTTGACCAAAAAAACCTGATGAGTAATAAATAAATTAATTAATAATAAATGAAGAAATAAATAAACCTGTGAAGTAATAAATTCTTTAACTTATTATAATAATTAAAAACAATAAAAAATTTTAATAAAGCAAAAAAAATTACTAAAACCATATTTTCCTTAAATTTTGAAGCTTCAAATGAACGAAAATTTTTCTGTTTAAATATTTTTTGAAATTACACTTCGAGAAAGAAAAATAATTATAATTAAACATTTACTTAGTTTGGAATTAATTATAGAAAAATATGTTTTTACAAAAAAATAAAAATTAAAGAAGTAAAGAATTAAACGTCCTTGATTTGAACGTTCAAAGTTTAGGAACTTAAAAGTTAAATCAATAAAAAATAATTTAAAATTTAAATGAATCGTTTACTTAGTTAAGAATTAATTTTTTTTTATAAAAAATACAAATTAAAAGAAGAAAAGAAATTTTTGCCCTTCATTTGAACGTTTGAAACTTTAGAAATTTAAAACAGTAAAAAATAAAAAATAAAAAATTACTTAAGAAAAAAAATTACCAAAGCAAGAAAATTACTAAACAAAAAATATTTAAAAATTTTTTTAAAAAATCTTTAAAAATTTAAAAAAAACATAAATTAAATTTAAAAAACAGTCAAACACAAAAATTAATATAGAAATAAATTTCGAGATAAATTTTTACAAAAATAAAATTTTTTCTATGTAAATAAAATGATTGAAAAAATCCTATATTGAAATTTACTTCGTTAAATGTGATCCCTCGTCATTCCAGCCGACATGTTTCGTCACCGGTCCAAGTAATTTCTTCAAGAAAGCAATGTACTTTTTATAACCGGAACTTTCACTCAATTTTTGCCTCCACGAATGTAAATATCCCAATGCCGTTGCCCAAGGCACGTAATCGCGTTCATTTAACAAGTACAACGATAATTCCAATGGTACCGATGCATTCAATTCGCCAGCCTCGCACAATGTGAAAACATCATCCAATAAATTGGCACGATCCGCAGGACTGAATTTCGTATGATCGCCCAACAAAGTTTTTATTATCGATGTCCACATCTCTTCGGGATATGTCACCCGATAGAATCCCGTCTGATTCACATTGCATTTTATATATTCCACTTCTGACGCGATCTCAAAGGTCACTTTTCGAAATGAGAAAATAACATTCCATTAGAATTATTGCTTTCCATCCAGTTAATTTACATTTATTCGAAATATCGATTAGTTTTTAATGAAAGAAAAAAAAATACTTTGGAAAAATTGGAATTTATTTTTCCATTCAATTTCAAAATATTTTTCTTTGCATTCATTTTCTTTTTTTATTTTCCAATTTTAAAAAATTTAGTCTGAAGTTCCGAACGTTCAAATGAATAAAATTTATTTATTTCTTCTTCAAATTTAAATTTTTTAAATAACATATTTGTATCGAATCGAAAAAACAATTTCGTTCATCGGAAATTGTTCAGAACTTGTAGATTATAAAAAATTGATTGATTGTTTTTAGAGAATTGGATCAAAAATAGAATACCATTTGTCATGTTCATCCAGATGTTGGTGATGTTTGTCGGATCCTTATCCGAGTAGAAACTCAGGGGAACGTACCATTTATAATTAAATGGCGATTTTGGTTCGAGAAGTGCAGTGTCATTATCGCGGGGAGACACCAAAAAACGTTTTTGACTCGCTGTGATAATATTTCCCTCCCTGGAAATAGTGATCAAGGGGAAGCCAGTTTGCTGCGTCCATGTCTCCATTATTGTCTTTGGAAGAAAAAATATTCTGTTATTATTATATAAATAATTACTAGATTATTAATTACTATACAAATAAATGCTATATAAATAACTACTAAATAAATAATTACCAGATAAAAAATTGTTAGATTGGAACGTTTTTTACAGAAACTTATGTAAACATTAGATAAAAATTAATTTCCACGATTTTAATTAAAAGTACAACAAAAATTCTATGGGTATTTCTAAAGAAAGAAAAAAATATCAGGATTGCCACAAAAATTTGATTTTCTTTTTCCCTGATTTCCGGACAGAATTTTGACTGTTTTCCTGACCATAAAGAATATTTTGATTCACTTCTAAAAATGATCAAAAAATGTTTCTGATATATTTATTTGTGAATATCTTCAATTGTAAAATTATTAGATACATGAATACTTTTTTTTAAAAAATAAAAATAAATCAATTTTTTTTTCTAATTTCTTAGAATTGAATATTTATGAAGAATTTCATCAAAAATTTTTTTAAATAATTGAATTCTTTCGGCGAATTTAAAAAAAAAATAAAAATAAATGCAATTTTCTATTATTTTACTTAAAATTGTACAAAAAATAATTGAAATTCAGCGATAAGTTTTGCTATTTATAAAAATAATTGAATTCTTGCAACGAATTTTATTTCAAATTTTTTTAAAGAATGAAATTTCGGAGAAAGATTTTTATTATTTTTAAAAATATTTGAATTCTTGTGAAGAATATTTATTGAAATTTCTGAAAAAATTCAATTGTTTTGAAGAATTTTATTCAACTTTTTTTAAATAATTGAATTCTTGAGAAAAATTTTATTATTTATAAAAATAATTGATTTCTTGAGAAGAATTTTATTCAAATTTTTTTAAATAATTGAATTCCCTTAAAAAATGTATTATTTGTGAGAATAATTGAATTTTTAAGAAGAATTGTATTGAAAATAATTGTTATAGGAAAATTTTATTGAAATTGCAATTTTATTAACTAAATCTTGTAAAGAAATTTTGTCAACATTTTTTTAAATAATCGAATTTTTAAAAGAAGTTTATTTAAATTTTTTTGGAATAATTGAATTTCTCAAAACTATTTTTTTCTTATTTTCTGAATATATTTGAATTCCTTCGAGAAACTTAATTTAAAAATTAAAAATAATTGAATTGGTGCGAAGAAATTTATAAAAAAATTGATAAGTAATTGAATTCCTGTGAAATTTTTATGAATATTTTCTTTAAATAATTGGATTTTTTTGGAAAATTTTATTAAAATAGTAGATATTACAAATAATTAAAGTAAGGAAAATTTTTGAAAATAATTGAAATTTTGCCAAGAATTTTAGTAAATTTTTTTAGAAAATAATTGAATTTCGGAGAAGAATTTTATTATTTATAAAGATAATTGAAATTGTAACGAGAATTTTTTTATATTTTTTTAACATTATTGAATTTATTTGAAGAAGTTTATCACTTTTGAAAATAATTGAATTTCTGTAATCAGTTGTTCTTAAAATTTCTATATTTAAATTCATTAAAAATTGATATTTTCTGAAATTTTAAATTAAAACCTTTGAAGTTCATCTATTTATGAAGATGTAAACGTAACTCTTTTGAAATTTAATTAATTTTGAAACTTTTAAGTAAAATTATTTATTAAATAATTTATAAGTAATAATTTTATGATAGTTCTTCAAGAATTAATTTATTTAAAAAGAAATTATTATTTGAAATAGAAAAATTGAAGGGTTTGTATTAGAATTCTTGACAATTTCATAGTTTATGAGGCAAACAAAAAATACACCAAAATTCAGAATTTTTTTATAAATTCTAAAAATTTAATTTTTTCCAATACTTTAAATAAAAATCCCTGACTTTTTCCTGATTTCCTTGACAAATTCAAACTTCCCTGCCTATTCCCTGAATTCCCTGACCTGCGGCAACCCTGTTCGTTGAACCTGATTTTCCTGACCTGTGGCAACTCAAAATTAAATTTTCTCTAAAAATTATCAAACGAAGATAAAAATTAAATTTATGATAAAAATTTTGAATGAAGATAAAAATTGTTCAGTACATTGTACAAAAGGGCAATATAAGCCCGTTTATATATTAAATAAATAAATAAATAAATAAATAAATAAAAATCTCACCTTCACATCAAAAGTGTGATTCGAATGTTTAGTGAAGACACTCCAAAAGTCCCCAGTATCCGCATTGCCATAGGCGAAATTATTCAAATATTCATTGAGTCCACTCTTCAAAACCTCCTCATTCAAAAAGTTCTCCAGCATATAAAGTATCGATGCACCTTTATTGTAACTTATTGTATCGAAAATTGCCTCAATTTCAGTGGGATCCTTGACGGTGACGCTTATCGAGTGACTACTCGCGAGACCATCCAAATCCAATGCCGGCTGTATTTTATCCAAAATAAATTGATCCATCATACTCCATTCGGGTGACAAATGATTAACACCTTTATACTCCAAATAGCTGGCGGCGCCCTCATTTAGCCAGAGATCATTCCACCATTTCATTGTCACCAAATTGCCGAACCACTGATGCGCCAGTTCGTGTGCAACAATTACAGCCACCCACTCGTGTGCCACTGTCGATGTTTCTTCGGGATCGTAAAGAATTGATGTCTCCCGATATGTTATGAGACCCCAATTCTCCATTGCACCCGCTGCAAAGTCTGGTATTGCTATCAAGTCTGTAAAATTTAAGGCGAGCTATAAAAATGACAGGGAAATCTTATTTCGACGCTGCGCTGGAATAAAGCTTTTACTGATTTATATCTGGGACGATCGAATTTTTAGAGAATATTACAAAAAAAATAACTATAAATTCTGAAATGATGAAAAAGATTTTTTTTTTGAAATTATGATTACTTTTTGTATTTTCAACTAGAATTTGTGGATAATTCATTTTTTTTCTGTAAATTTAGTATCATTGTTTTAAATATTCAATTATTTTTAGAATTTTGAACTAAAATTCTTCGAAAATCCAATTATTTTTCGAAATTTCAATATAATTTTTTAAAATATATTCGATTGCTTTTAAAATTATATTGAAAACAATTGAATTCTCCTGGAAAATTTTATTTATGAAAATAATTGAATTCCCGCAAAGAATGTTATTAAAATTTTTGAAATTACATAATTGAATTGTTTTGATAAGTTTCTCTAAATATTTTGAAAATAATGGAACTTTTTTTAAATAATTTTAATGATTTTAATTAAGAAATTTTGAATATAATTGAATTTTACAAAGAATTTCTTTCAAAATATTTTGGGGTAACTTAAATTCAATTGAATAAAAAATTTCATTGAATAGATTATTTTTAAAAAAATGTTACTTTCTTTAAAATTTTAAATTAAAACTTTTCAAAAATTCAATTATTTTAGAATATTATTAAAAAAAATTTTATTCAATTTAAGAAAAAGTCAATTACTTTTTGTATTTTCAAACTAAAATTTGTTGACAATTCAATTATTTTCTGTAATATTAGTATAATTATTAAAAATATTAAAAATATTCAATTATTTTGAGAATTTTTAATTAAAATTCTTAAAAAATTCAATTATTTAAATTATTTAAAAGTTCGCAATAGGAAAGAAATTCCAGAAAAATTCAAGTTTTTTGTTTTTTGATACCAAAAACCCGAACTCTCGTAGTAATTTTTATTTTCCTGATCAATTTAATTTTCTCCGAATTTCCTTATTTTCATTCATCACCTGAAAATTATGAAAAAACCATGAAATTTTGCAAGAAGAAATTTTTAGAAACCCTGTGGTAATTCTAAATTCTAAAGAAACTTTTATTCTTTAGGAGATAAATTCGAAATGCCATTTCTAAATAATTTTAATCTTTAAAGTAAAGATTATTTGATGAATAAAATCCAAAGATTTTTTTTCTATTCATTAAAAGAAAAGAATAGACATTTTTAATTGTATTTATTTACCTTGCTTAGGCAGTGGATAGTGAACACCGAAAAATGATTCGAAATAGTCCATCGTACGCGCTGCAATGTTGAGGGCATATTTTGCCTGTGGAAGCATTGCTTCCGCTGCATAAACACTGACGGAGACATTTCTATTGGTCAATTCGGAGATTCTTTTGAAATCGCAAACGACAAAAGCCACCAGATACGTTGACATTTCCACAGATTCTTGAAAATCGTCTCGAAGCTGTGAATCAGAATTACTCTACTTCAGGCGTATGTTGAAACTGTCTTCAACGACTATTTCAGAATGATAATTAATTATTCTTAGAAAATATCCTTAATAAAAAATATCGCTCCATCTCTTAAAAATCCTCTCAAAAAAATTCCAATTTCTCTGAAGAAATTACTTTAGAGAAATCAATTTCTCTAAAGTAATTACTTCAGAGAAATTGGAATTTTTTGAGAGGATTTTTGAAAGGCAAAATTTTCTAAAAAAAACTGAATATTTTGTTTTCTCTTTCAAAATTAATTTTACAAAATATTATTTCGTATACGAAAAATTTAATTCTTCTAAACTTAAATTAAAATACAAGTAGTATTTTTCATTTCAGTATTAGTAGATTTAAATATTTAAATAGAAAACGGCTAAAGTTTAAGTACAACGTTTATCATCAACGATTGAAATAAAAATATTTTTTACGTCTACAAATTTTTCTCCTTCGAGTTGTTCGAGAGGAAAAATTCTAAAGATTGTTTTAAGACTTTGAATAAAATTTTTTTGAATTTGAATAAAAAATTATTTTCTCTCCTAAATGGCTAATTAGAAACGTTTTAAACTTCACGAACGTAACAGAAAAAACTGTTCATTTGAATCTTTGAAACTTTAGAGAATTTTCTCCTGTAAGAATAATTAATTATCTTAAAGAAACTTTGATACTCTGAAAAATCGTTTTTTTACACACTAGTAAAATTGTCAAAACACTAAAAATGAATTTGAATAAAGTTTAAATTTTAGTAAATGATAAATTTTTTTTCTGTGATACGATTTTCAAATTTTGACTCACAAGGCCCGTTCCCATGTAAAATCCAGCGTCCTCGGTATTCATAACTGGCATATTACACAAAGCTATGTGAAATCTGTCTCTGAAAATTGAGACTTTGAACTTTGCCTTGAATTGTGGTTCATCGAAACATGGAAACGCAGAACGCGCATAAGTTGGCTCGAAATGTGTTGTCGCTAAATACCTGAAACAGAAAATAAAATTAATTTTCAATTTAATTTTCTTTCCGCACTGTAACACTTTTAATTACAAAAAAAGTCAAATACGAACCTTTTTTCTCCGTCGCTAGTAACGTAGCTGCTCAAATAAAATCCTTCGAGTTCATTTTTCAATTTCGAGACAAATCTAAGATGAACTGTATAATTTGCCTTCTTTCTAAATTTACTCTCTTCAAGTTCCAAATAAACCTGCTGATGCTTCGGGTACTCCAGCAATTTTCCAATTTTTAATCTGTGGCCTTTTCGATCTTGGACCATCTGAAAAAAATTGCTTCATTGAATTTTTGCTTTTTTGAGTAAATTATTTACATTCTTAAAATATACAGTAAATTATGAATCCTTCGAGTCAATTCATATTTAATATTATTATTTCTTGTACATAATAATCGAGATATTCTGTCCTCATGTCAAGTTGGGACTTTTTGATTCCAAATTGTTTTACATTTCAAATTGTTATGTTAAAAGTTTGACAATTAATTAGTGTTTTGGTGAAATTAATTTGAATTAATTATCCTAGAATTTTTACAGAACAGTAAAGTAAGGAAATTTTATCAAAAAAAAAATCTTAAATAGTCAATGAATTTTCTTTCTCAAATTAAAAAAAATCTACAAGTTCAATTACAGTTGCAATTTTTAGAAATAATTAATTATTTATTTTTGTATTTAAAAAAAGAATTCTCGTACAACTTTTTGATAAGAATTGATTTGAAAAATAATTTCAGTTAAAATTTTAGAAAATATTTCAAGAATTTGAAGAATTACAGTTCGAATTTTTAAAAATAATTAAATTTCAAAAAAGTTTTACATTTAACATACTTTTAAATTTTAATTCCTGTTGGACGAATAAATAACAATAAGTATTCAAATATTTATTAAACAAAAATTAATGTAATTTAAAAAATTTTCATTTAGAAATTCTGAAAAAATGTAAAAAATAATAATTAAAATTTTTTTGAAAATAGTTGCTTTCCCGAAAATAATTTTAAAAAATTGAAAAAATAGGAAATTTTCTCAAAGTTAATTAAAATAAATTTTCTATTTCCAAGAATTTTATTTTCTCATTTTAAAATAATTTAAATAGAATTTTTTGAAAAATTGGACGTAAAAATTTGGAAAATAATTAAATTAAAAAAAATTTTTTTGTGTTTAAATAATTCAATTCTCGTACAATTTTTGTAATAAGAATTGTTTTGAAAAAGAATTTTAGTTCAAATTTCAGAAAATATTTCAAGAATTGAAATTTGAAAAATTTAATTTCAAAATTCTGAAAAAAGAGATTTTTAAAAATCGTAATTAAAGCTTTTTGCAAAAAATAAATTTAAAAAATTTAAAAAATAGGACATTTTCTCAGAGTTTATAAAAATAAATTCTCTATTTCAAAGAATTTTATTTTTTCACTTGAAAAAAATATTTTGAAATATTATGACATTTTTTGAAGAATTTTAAGTAAAAATTTTGGAGAAAATAATAAAGTTTTACAAAAATTTTGGTATTTTAATAATTCAATTATCATTGAATTCTAATAAAAATTTATTCAAAAAAGAATTTCAATTAAATAATATATTATTTTTCTGTAAAAATGATTAATGTTTTAAATAATTTTATTCAAAAATTGATAAAAATAATTGACTATTGGAAAAATTGCAGTTGAAATTTTTAGAAATAATTATTTACCTATTTGATTTTGTATTTAAATAATCGAATTCTGGTGCACAACTTTTTGATAAAAATTGATTTGAAATATAATTTCAGTTAAAATTTTATAAAATATTTCAAAAATTGAAGTTATAATTTTTGGAAATAATTAAATTTCAAAAAGGTTTTACATTGAACGTATTTTGAAATTTTAATTTCTGATGGACGAGTAAATAACAAAAATTATTCAAATATTTATTGAACATAATTTAATTAAATTTAAAAAATTCTATTTAGAAATTCTGAAAAAATGTAAAAAATAATAATTAAAATTTTTTTGAAAATAATTTTAAAAAATTCAAAAAATAGGAAATTTACCTAAGTTTATCAAAATAAATTTTCTATTTCAAAGAATTTTATTTTCTCACTTTAAAAAATTATTTCTACAAGAATTTTTTGAAGAATTTTACGTAAAATTTTGGAAAATAATTAATTTAAAAAAAAATTTTTTGTATTTAAATAATTTAATTCTTGTACAATTTTTTAATAAGAATTTAATTGAAAAAAAATATTAGTTAAAATTTCAGAAAATATTTCAAGAATTAAAAGAATTACAGCTCTAGTCTTTAGAAATAATTAAATTTCAAAAGGTTTTACATAGAAAGTGCTTTGAAATTTTAATTCTTGTTTGTATTTAAATATTAAAACAAAAATTAATAAAACTGGAAAATTTTTTTTTCAAAATTCTGAGAAAATAAGGTTTTTAAAAAATCGTAATTAGAGTTTTTTTTGCAAATAGTTGAATTCTCGAAAATAATTTTCAAAAATTGAAAAAATAGGAAATTTTCTCATAGTTCAGTAAAATAAATTTTCTATTTCAAAGAATTTTATTTTCTCACTTTAAAAACTATTTTTAAATAAATAAAATAATATTATTATATTTTTCGAAGAATTGTAAGTAAAAATTTTGGAAAATAATAAAATTTTACAAAAATATTATTTTTTTTTAAAAAGTATTACAATTTTTAAGTAATTCTATTCTAACATTCAAAAAAATAATAGACTTTTGGAAAAATTGCAGTTGTAATTTTTAGAAATAATTCAAAAGGTTTTACATTAAAATTATTTAAAATTCCAAAGTAAAAACAATAAGATTTTAAATATTTGTTTAAAAAAAATTAAATTTTAGAATAATTTAATGTAGAAATTTAAAAAAAAAATTAGCTTCTTGAAAAATTGTAATTAAAAAATTTTTTAAAGATAATTAAATTCCCGAAAATAATAAAAATATACTTAAAGCTTACCTTTTCATTTATTGTCAAATTTTTACTATGGAAGACGATAAAATTGGTCTCTTTATCCACGAAAAACTCAATCGTGACTTGCCCTGGTAAAAAAGAAAAATTGCCACGATTAGTACAAAAATTTATTATTAAAAATAATTTTTATCTATGTATTTATTTTTTTTCTCAATTTGATATTAAGTATTATTTCAGAAAATATTACCCTTGACTTCCAGCGTCGTAAGGTTTGGATGGATAGTGATGATGTATCTAGTTGGATGTGCAAATGAAGGTAATCTTACGTTATTCCATGGAAATACCTGAAAAATATTTTCCAATATTAAAAGAAAGTCAAAATTTCGATTTCTTATTTAAATTTATAATTATGATTGATTCTTCTAAATAAATTGATTTATCTGAATGAAATAATAAAAATAAATAAAATATTAAAATAAATTGAAAAATAAATTAAAACTGCATGAAAAAAGAATAATTCCGGGAAATTTTAAAAAAATATTGATTTTTCAGATATTAAATTGATTCTTCTGAATAAATTAATACTTCTAAATAAATTGATTCATATATTATAAATAAATAAATTCTACTAAAGTACGTTTTTTATTCAATTTTAATTTTAATAATAAAATCTAGCAAATAATTTATTTTTTTGCAATTCTTCTTTACTTTTCTTTTCAATAAATTGATACTTCTGAATAAATTGATCCATATAATATATGGAATATATCAATTTTATAAATTCTACTAAATGGATTCTTTTACTCTATTTCAATTTTTAATAATAAAATCTATCAAATAATTTATTTTCCTTAATTTCCTTCTTCGTCAACATTAAATAATTAATATTGCTGTTGAAAAATTAATTAGTTAATTAATACTGCACTAAGTCAAATCGAGAACAGAGGTAGAAAATTTAAAAAAAGGAGTTATTTATTTTTTTTTTTTTTTGCTAATTAACATAATTTGTTTGATTATACATTACAATAGCTGTCTCGCAAAGGGGCTTTTTAAATAATTAAAGGGAAATTTAATTAAGTTAGAATGTGAATATCAAAAATATGCATTTTTATAGTAAATTATATTAATTTACCTCTCCGTTCGTTGCAAGCAGTTCACCTCCTTCCTCGTCCTCGTTGATTTCCAGATTCGCTGGCTTTTCTCCAGCACAAGGGCAGTCTGCAAATATAATTATTTATTAATCAATATTTAATATATTCACCAACCTACATTTCACGTCAATGACACTTGATTTTAGTTTTTTTTTCTTTTTTCGAAAATTGAATACAAACAGTCTGCTCGAAAATGTCATTAACTCATAAAATGTTCTTGCCGTTTCATTCTAGAAATTTTTCTTTTTAATTTTTTCTTCAATTTTTCGATATTCATTTTTTGAAACAAATTATTTTTTACTAAAACTTTTATTAAAAAACAAAAACTATTGTCAAATAAATATTTAAATATTTTTTCATTGACGAATTTTTCCGAATTTAATAAATAAGGAACGACTTTTCTTCATTTTTTTAGTCATTTTCTACGAATTCAGATTTCGAGCGAAATAAATTAGAAAAAAAATTATTTAATTTTTATTTTGATACAAATAACTAAATAATATAGGTATTAAAATCACTAAATAGAGTTTATTTGATTATATGCAAATTAAAAAATTTTTTATTTTCAAATATAAATTTTAAAATAATTTCATAATCAAAAATTAAAAAATTTACTTTTTAAGAACAAAATTAATTATTATTGTTTATATTTTTAACATAATTCTTTGCATGAAATCAATTATTTTTATATAAATAATAGAATTTTTAGGAGGAATTAAATTATTTTTAAAAATAGTAAAATTTTTTGCAAAAATTCAATTTAACAAAATTTTAATAAAATTTCACGAAAAAATTCAATTATTTTCTAAAACTTTAATAAATCTTTTTAAACAATTCATTTATTTTTTTAAATAGTAAAATCTTTGCAAAAATTCAATTTAAAAAAAAAATTTTAATCTATTTCTAATAAATTCAATTATTTTCTAAAATTTTAATAAATTTTTTGGAAAAATTCAATTATTTTTATAAATAGTAAATTTCTTCGCAAGAATCAATTATTTTTATAAATATTAAATTTCTTCGCAAGAATTCAATTATTTTTATAAATAGTAAAATTCTTTGTAGGATTTCAATTATTTTCAAAACAATTTAATAATTGAATTCCTCAGCAGAATTCAAATATTTCCATAAAATTTAATTATTTCCTAAAATTTTAATAAATTCTTCAAAACAATTCAACTATTTTTATAAATTACTAAAATTCTTTGCAGAAATTTAATTATTTTTTATCCAATTTAAATAAAATTACACGAAAGAATTTAATTATTTTCAAAAATTTCCATAAAATTCAATTACAACAAGAATTTAAAATTCTCTAAAAATAATTTAATTATTCTCAAAATATTAAAAAAAAAAATTCTATATGAAAATTAAATTACTTTTAATGCAATTTTTAAATCTATTTGTCAAAAAAATTGAAAGAATTCAATTATTTTCAAAAAATAATAAAATTATTCTGATGAATTCAATTTTTTTGAATATGCTTAATTTTTATAAAATTCTTTACAGAAATTCAATTATTTTCGAAACAACTTTAATTGAATTTCTCGAAAGAATTGAATTATTTCCAAATATTTCTATAAAATTCTCCAAAACAATTCAATTTTTCGTAAAATTTTAATAATTTCTTCGATCATTTCAATTATTTTTATAAATAGTAAAATTCTTTGCAAAAATTCAATTCTTTTCGAAACAACTGTAATTGAATTTCTCGAAAGAATTGAATTATTTTCAAATATTTCTATAAAATTCTCCAAAACAATTCAATTTTTCTTAAAATTTTAATAAATTCTTCGACCATTTCAATTATTTTTATAATTAATAAAATTCTTTGCAGAAATTCAATTCTTTTCAAAACAATTTTTAATAGAATTCCTCAAAAGAATTTAATTATTTTCAAATATTTACATAAAATTAATTTATTTCCTAAAATTTTAATAAATTTTTTGGAACAATTCAATTTTTATAAATAGTAAAATTCTTCGCAAGAATTACATTTTTTTTATAAATAATAAAATTCTTTGCAGGAATTCAATTATTTTCAATACAATGTTAATAAAAATTTTCTTCATAAAATTCAATTGCTTTCAAAATTTGCATTTAAAATTATTAATGAAATTCTATTATTTTTAAAAAAATCAAAGAAATTCTTCAAAACAGTTTAATTAGAATTTTTTATAATTTCAATAAAATTCGTCTCAAGAATTCAATTATTTTCATAAATTATAAAATTCTTCGAAGAAATTGAATTATTCTCAAATTTTTTGATAACATTCTTACCAAGAATTTAATAATTTTCAAATATTAATTTTCAAATTGAAAATTATTTCAAAAGTTAGGAAACAAAGAAGCAATCAACAACTAACTTCAAACTCCGAACAGATTACCGGAATACAAAGATTATTTAATATAAAAGATAGAAGATAATTTCTATTTAAAATTATTATAAAAAAGGAAAATATAATTTCTTTGTGAAGTTATTATTAAAAAATAAAATAATAAGAACAAAAAAATTAAAAAAAAAAAATTTCTTTCTAAAATTACTATAAAAAAGTAAAATAATAAGAAGAAAAAAAATAAATAACAAAAAAAGAATTTATGAAATTAGGATTATAAAACAGTAAAATAATACCTAAAAAAATTAAAAACAAAAAAATAAATAGAAATAAATAGAAAAAAATAATAAAAAAATTGAATTTTTTTGTAAAACAAATGTAGAAAAGTAAAATAACAAAAACGAAAAAATTCTTAAAAATTCTTAAAAATAATAAATAAATAATAAATAAATAGATATTCGTATTGTATTAGTATTATCAAAAAAAAAATCCTCAAATGAAAAATGAAGAATATATAATACAGAGCGAGATATGAATATATAGGTAAAAAAATCTCCCTTTGAAATTATTCTCGGTTTTTTTTGTTGTGATTTTTGAAGCAAACTCGTTAGATGTATGTATAGAAAATTGAAAGTTACCATTCTGTGGTCCCGCGAATGCAATGATGAGTGATATGGCGAAGAGGATGCCGAAAACAACGGTGGCAATACAAAGTGCTTTCTTTTGTGAACAAACTGCGACTCCATTGTGTTCGTATATGCTGCGTTTGTGCAACCCTGTGTTACTGTCTCCTGGAAAATAAAAAAATCACTCATGAGGAAATGCTTTCGGTCCAGAAAGTGTGAAACGTTCCATTTTTTATTTTTGTTCTTGTCTTTCTTTTTGTGTTGAATTATTATTTTTTTAACAATACGTAGACATATATACATATAACTATAGCACACGAAATAAATGTGTTGAATTAAAAATAATAATTTACAAAAATAAGATAAATTTATTATCACTAATTTAATAAAAAAAAATAACAGAAATAAAATATAGGTATATATTTGCATCAAATAATTGGAATTCTTTGAATTGCATTGTTTTGAAGAAAATAAAACTTAATTGAATTTCCATATGATTTAAGATTTTTAAAAATTTTAATATTAAAATCTTTTTGAAATTCAACAATTCATAAGAATATTATTATAAAACATGAATGATTTATAATATCTTCATTCAAATATATATTAGAAAATAAAAAATTAAATAATAATTTCAAAAAAAAAAATTCAATTAAACTTTTTAAAAAAAAATTAATTTCACAGAATTGTTAGTAAAAAATAAAAAAAACTCATGTTTTCAAAGATTTTAATTTAAAACTTTTTCAAAATTCAATTAATTCTATAAAAATCCACGCTTTAATGCTTTTATTCAATTATTATCTAAATTTTTAACTGAAATTCATTTTTAAAACATTTTTTATTTGAAAATTCTACGAGAATTCAATTATTTAAATACAAGAATAAATATTTTATTGAATAATTAAATATTTTTTCAAAACTAAAAATTTTTAAGAATAATTCCACATTTCTATTACTTTATTTAAAACTGTATCAAAAGTAATTGAAATTCTGCGATGTGTTTCATTATTTTATAAAAATTATTGAATTCCTAAAAAGAATTTTATTATTTATGAAAATCATTGAACCCCGGCAAAAAATTTAATATTTACGATAATAATTGAATTATTTCGAAGGAATTTATAAAAAATTTGTAAATAATTAAATTTGTATTAAAAATAATAATTTTTCTTTAAAATAATTTTATTATCTATATGTGAAAAATTTGAATCACTGTAAAAAATTTTATTATTTATGAAAATAATTGAATTCCTAAGAAGAATTTTATTATCTATATGAAAAAATTGAATCCCTGTAAAAAATTTTATAATTTATGAAAATAAATGAATTCCTAAGAAGAATTTTATTTTTAATGAAAATAATTGAATAGTTGGAAAGAATTTTATTTCAAAAATAATTGAATTCCTAAGAAGAATTTTATTATTTATAAAAATAATTTAATTCTGGCGAAAAATGTTTAAATATTTGATTTCTTTCGACTAATTTTATGGCAAATTTCAATTTAAATAATTTAATTCCTGAGAAATTTTTATTATTCATCAAAACAATTGAATTACTTAAAAGATTTTTAAAAAAATTTTCTAAATAATTGAATTCTGTTTGGAAATCTTATGAAAATAGATATTAAAAATTTAATTCTTGGGGACGATTTGATTAGAATTTTTTTAAATAATTGAATTTCCCAAAAGAAATTTATTACTTTTAAAAATAATTGAATTCTTGTGATGCAAAATTGTTGTTTATGAAAATAATTGAATTTTGCAAAGAATTTTATTAAAATTTCTGAAAATAATTGAATTTCTAGAAAATTTTTTGTTATTTCGATTATTCGTAAATTCTTCAACTAAATAGATATTAGAAAATGAAAATTTCATATAATTTAAGAAAAATTCAATTAAACTTAATTTAGAAAAATTAATTCTACAGAATTTTTAATTAAAAGTATGAAAAATTCAAATTTTCAAATATTTTAATTTAACACCTTTTCAAAACTCAATTATTTCTAAAAATTCAACCATAATGCTTTCAATTTTCAATTATTATCTAAAATTTAAACTTAAATTCATTTTTAAATCAATTTCCATTAAAAAATTCTACGAGAATTTAATTATTTAAATGCATAAATAAATAATTTATTGAATAATTGAATGTTTCTCAAAATTGAATTCTTTCGACGAATTTTATTTCAATTTTTAAGAATAATTACATTTTTCGAGGAATTAGACTAAAATTTTATTGTATTAAAAATAATTAAAATTGTGCGATAAATTTTAATATTTATGAAAATAATTGAATCCCTGTAAAAATTTTTTATTATTTATGAGAATAATAGAATTCTTGAGAAGAAATTTTTAAAAAATTTGTAAATAATTGAACTCCTGTGAAATTTTTATTTTTTATGAAAATAATTAAATGCTTATGTGTAGAATTTTATCAAATTTTTTTTTAAATAATTAAATTCTCTTGGAAAATTTTATTAAAATAGTATAAAAATTCTCAGATTAAATCTTTGGTCCGTTTAATTAAGAAAATTTTGTCATCGAATCAAACTATGTAAAGTTTAAAAAAAAAGGAATATGTGTGGAACTTTCTTGTACGCATTATTATATGCACAAACAAGTATAAATAAATAAATATTGGAAATCATTGAATGGAGAAAAATTTTTGAAAATAATTGAAATTTTGTCAAGAATTTTATTAATATTTTTAAAAATAATTGAATTTCGAATAAGAATTTTATTATTTATAAAGATAATTGAAATTTGGACCAGAATTTAAAAAAATTTTAAGAATATAATTGAATTTTGTGATAAGAATTTTATTTCTTTTGAATATAATTGAATTTCTGCAATTATTTGTAACTTCTCCAAAATTCAATTTTTTTAGTGTCTCTAACTAAAATTCTTCTATAATTCCATTATTTTTAATAAATAATTAAATATACATTACAAAATTTAACTAATTTAACTAGAATTTGAAGCAAATAAAATTTAATTAACTCAAATTAAAAATTTTTCGATACAAGAAAATATTTTTTTGACAATAGACAGTTTATTTGATTTAAATAAATTGTTGTTTATTAGAATCAAATAAATTATTTTCCCCGTCTTTAACGTAGAAATATTCCTATACATTTTTATTTAAAACAAAAATGCTGTGTGTAAAAATTCTTTCTATCAAAAAAAGAGCCACATGCACTTATGTAATTGTCTTTAATTTGAAAAGTGGGATTATTATTATTTTTTTTTTTTTGAAAATGGAAGGAAAAAAGCAAATTGGTTTTAAGTTAATGATTATATACCGTTCCTGAGAAAGCAGGAAAGTGCATTGCTACATTACGCAAATTGTATACATGTCTGATTATACTGACGCAGTGGTATAGAAAAATAAGTGATAAAGGTCGGTTACGATCAGACCCAAGGGATACAAACACAGTAGAAGGTGAATGTGTAAATTAAAACGAGTATTGCTAATAAAAAAAATTACCGCCTACTTTGCACAATTTTCCAATTTAACAATTTTTATTTCAATTATTGTTATTATTTACAAAAAAATTAGTTCTTTTTATATTTTTTTTTATTAATATTAGTTTATAAAATTCTTATAAAGAATTCAATTATTTTCAAAAATAACAAAATTTTTCACAGAAATTCAATTCTTTTTAAACATTTGAATAAAATTTTTTGCAATAATTCAATTATTTTCATAAATAATAAAATTCTAAATTCATCGCAGAGTTTCAATTATTTTTGAAAATTTTAATAAAATTCGTTCGCAAGAATTTAATTATTTTCATAAATAATAAAATTCATCGCAGGATTTCAATTATTTAAAATACAATTTTACAGGAATTGATCAAAAAATGTAATTATTCTTAAAAATTTAATTTCAATTCTTCGAAAAAATCAATAATTAAAAAAAATGTTTTTTTTTAAATTCTATGAAGGAATTTAATTATTTACAAAAATATTAGAATTTTTCACAGGAATTCAATTATTTTCAAATAATTTAATAAAATTGTTCGAAACATATCAATTATTTTAAATACAATTTTAATTAAATTTTTCTTAAATAATTCAATTATTCTTTTAGATTTTAATAAAATTCCTTTCCAAGAATTCAATTATTTGCATAAATAATTCTTCGAAGGAATTAAATTATGTCGATAAATAACAAAATTATTCCCGACAATTCAATTATTTTGAGGAATTTTAATAAAATATCATTTCAAAATTCAATTATTTTCATAAATAACAATATTCATCACAAGAATTTAATTATTTTCAAAATTAATAAAATTCTTCTTAAAAATTCAATTATTTTTAAAAATTCTAATAAAATCGTTCAGAAGAATTCAATTATTTTCATAAATAATAAAATGCTTTTTAGGAATTCAATTATTTTTGAAATTTTTAATAAAATTCTTGACAAAATTTCAATTACTTTCATAAATAATAAAATTCATTGCAGAGGATTTCAATTATTTGTAATACAATTTTACTGGAATTGTTCAAAAAATATAATTATTCTTAAAAATTTAATTTCAATTTCTCGAAAAAAATGAATTATTTAAAAACATGATTTTTATAAATTCTTTGAAAGAATACAATTATTTACAAAAATATTAGAATTTTTCCTCGAATTTTTCACTGGAATTCAATTATTTTCAAATATTTTAATAAAATTGTTCGAAAGATCTCAAATATTTTAAATACAATTTTAATTTAAAGTTTTTAAAAATAGTTCAATTATTCTTTTAGATTTTAATAAAATTCCTTTCCAAGAATTCAATTATTTACATAAATAATTCTTCGAAAGAATTCAATTATATCGATAAATAACAAAATTAATCCCGAAAATTCAATTATTTTGAGTCAATTTAATAAAATTCTTTGCAAAATTCAATTATTTTCAAAAATAACAATATTCTTCACAAGAATTCAATTATTTAATTTTTAAAAGTAATAAATTTCTTTTTAAAAATTCAATTATTTAAAAAAATTGTAATAAAATCGTTCGCAAGAATTCAATTATTTTGGGGCATTTTAATAAAATTCTTTGCAAAATTCAATTATTTTTATAAATAACAATATTCATCTCAAGAATTCAATTATATTTTAAATTAATAAATTTCTTCTTGGAAATTCAATTATTTTAAAAAATTC